CCTTTGCATCGAAGCGAGACAACCGTTGAGCGTGCAATGATAGAAACCTTCTTTCACACCTACAGACAATTATTCACAGGTATCTATCATTGCACGCTCAACGGTTGTCTCGCTTCGATGCAAAGGCACGGCTACCTTTCAAGATGGCGCACCTAACAGTGAAGGGGACTATTATTCGTAGTAACGAAGGGAGACCGATGGTCAATTCAAATAAATTAATTTGCGCAATATTTCTCATATAGAAAGCCGTGTTAATACACAGGCAGCCCAACCATTAATTGAGAAGTACTTGTAATACTTATAAATACTATTTTTTTGTTTAGCTGCTCCCAAGATTAAGCGATCCAAGGGTCGATCAGATACGATGACAGAGGCTGTTGGCGAAGGTACAGTGCAAGTAAACAAAGTTTGATGATAAACTGATAATGGCTGCAGAATACTTTGTCTTGTCAGAAAAGGTTGACAATTGATTGATTGATTGATTGATTGATTGATTGATGAATTGATTGATTGATTGATTGATAAATCGGTTGATTGATTGATTGATAAATTGATTGATTGGTAAATTGATTGATTGATTGATGGTTTGTCGATTGATGGTTTGATTGACGAATTGACTGGTTGATTGATCGATTGATTGATTGATTGATAAATTCATCTATTGACTGATAAATAAATTGATTGATTGATAAATTGGTTGATTGATTGATTGGTAAATTGAATGATTGGTGGTTGATTGATGAATTGACTGGTTGATTGATTGAATGATTGCTTGATTGACTGGTTATTTGATAGTTTGAATGTATAACTGACTGTCTGATTGATTGGTTCTGTGGTTGCTTGATTGATCGATCGATCGGTTGGTTAACAAGCTGATTGAATGATGTTTGGACCTTGGCTCCTTCCTCGGACTTACAGGACTGAAATAAAGATATTCATTTCTTTACTGACTATATGACTAACTAACTAATGTACTTTGTCCGTAGATATTTTAGAAGGTGTCGACGTAAGCCGTGATAAACCTACAAACAAGAAAGCAGACCACCTACACTCAATAGGTACAATATTACATCGCTTTTAAATGATATTCTGTTCATTATTGACAAATAGTAAATTAGCCAATCTAATTGCTTGGTTTGTTTGATTGACAGAGGACGAACACGCCCACAAACCCGARGCACTGAATAAAAAGGCACTGGATATTATAACAAGAGTACGCGATAAGCTTACAGGTATGAATATGAAGACCGCATGGCACTATGATAAACACGATATAGAAATGAAAGAAAGTTATAGTGCTTAGAAGGAGGCAATTCCGGGAGAAGTCCCTTAGGAATAAATTCGGAAAAATTAATTTCCGACCTCGCTGGGATTCGAACCCACGACCTTCGGATTTGTACACCGATGCTCTACCAGCTGAGCTACAAGGCCAGACTGGGAGCAGGTCGGGGTGAAATAGATGTTAAGGTTGCGGTAATAGAATAATGTAAAGATATGAATATGAAGACCGCATGGCACTATGATAAACACGATATAGAAATGAAAGAAAGTTATAGTGCTTAGAAGGAGGCAATTCCGGGAGAAGTCCCTTAGGAATAAATTCGGAAAAATTAATTTCCGACCTCGCTGGGNATGTTGGACCGTCTAAGCGGTCGTATTCTTCACATTGATTTTGGCGACTGTTTTGAGGTAAGCGAACAACTACATATACCCCCTATAACATGGTCACATTGGCAACCTGGTCGGAATAACGAGGTTTTTTATACAGGTTGCGATGACAAGAGAGAAATTCCCTGAAAAGATTCCATTCAGGCTTACAAGAATGTTGACTAACGCAATGGAGGTATGTTGCGTACGTAATGATTACGTTAACGTAAGCTCTTCGTTTCAACGTAATTGGCACTCTTTTCATTTTCTTCGTATTCCGTAAGTTAACTTCGCTTCATTGCTGCGTGTACGCAGTTAATATAGTAATATTCACAAATTACTTACGTTTATTCTACGCAGTGCTGACCCTGACCTATACGCAATGCTCTCATTGACACTACGTAGTGGCGAATTTCATCCTRCGTAATACTTACGTTTAGGCAACGYAATGAACACTACTGCMCTATTTACGTTTCCGTCTGTTCCCAGGTTACGGGTATCGATGGGAATTATCGTCTTACGTGCGAAAGTGTCATGAGAACGTTACGTGAACACAAAGACAGCGTAATGGCAGTGCTCGAAGCRTTCGTCTACGATCCTTTGCTTAACTGGAGACTTATGGATAGCGGTAGGTTCTATAAAATCATGCGTCATGTTGATTTTCCTTGTTAGACTGTCGATACTTTGTCGGTTCTTTTTCGCGAATTATTCGTAGAAACGAAGGGAGACCGATGGTCAATTCAAATAAATTAATTCGCGCAATATTTCTCATATAGAAAGCCGTGTTAATACACAGGCAGCCCAACCATTAATTGAGAAGTACTTGTAATACTTATAAATACTATTTTTTGTTTAGCTGCTCCCAAGATTAAGCGATCCAAGGGTCGATCAGATACGATGACAGAGGCTGTTGGCGAAGGTACAGTGCTAGTAAACAAAGATGGATGATAAACTGATAATGGATGCTGAATACTTTGTCTTGTCAGAAAAAGTTGACAATTGATTGATTGATTTATTTATTGATTGATAAATTGGTTGATTGATTGATTGATAAATTGATTGATTGATTGATTGATTGATTGATTGATGGACGGGATAATTGGTTGACTGGTTTGATTAATGAATTGACTGGGTGATTGGTTGATCGTTTGATTGATTGATTGACTGGTTGATTGACTGATTGATTGATTGAATCATTGGTTGATTGACTAGTTAACTGGATATTTGATAGATTGAATGTATAACTGACTGTCTGATTGATTGGTTCTGTGGTTGCTTGATTGATCGACGATTGGTTGGTTAGCTAGCTGATTGAATGATGTTTGGACTTTGGCTCCTTCCTCGGACTTACAGGACTGAAATAAAGATATTCATTTCTTTACTGACTAACTAACTAATGCACTTCGTCCGTAGATATTTTAGAAGGTGTCGACGTAAGCCGTGATAAACCTACAAACAAGAAAGCAGACCACCTACACTCAATAGGTACAATATTACATCGCTTTTAAATGATATTCTGTTCATTATTGACANCAGTTTGACTTACGTCATGTTTTGATGGACAGGTCGTGACTTTGCCAAGCGTAACACACTCGAAGTACCATCGCAGGTCGAACTCCTTATCAAGCAAGCCGTGTCACACGAAAACCTTTGYCAGTGTTACATAGGATGGTGAGTATGAACTCTGAGATTTCATATGTATTTGAAAACATTTTATAATCACGGCATGTTTGCGGAAAGTATTTTGTGTGACTTTCTAGAAAAATMTTTCCTGACGCTTGTCATAAACTAAGTCGATGTCTTTTTTTCTTTCAGGTGTCCATTCTGGTAACATTTATCTGATCAAAATCTCCCTATTTGTGATTTCACCAAAAAAGGACGCTGTCTCTACATCCCGACATCTCCGATATCACTAACAGCAAAGATGTAGCAATGGCAGTAGGAACAACAGAAACGATTACAACAACACGAGCAACAGCAGCACTTGAAACAACAGCAGCAGCATCAACTCGTTGTAGTTGTACTGTTGTTGTCTTTATTTGCTGCTGTTGTCAATTTTGATGTCGTTGCTATTGTTGTTGCTGCTGTTGTTGTAGTTGCTGTTGTCGCTATTGTTGCTATTGATTTTGCTGTTGTTTTCCTTGCTGCTAATGTTGCTCTGTCTTCTTGTGCTGTCGCTATTGTACGTGTTGAGCTTTCTGCTGTTTCGCTGTTGTTGTTGCTGCTGCTGTCGCTATTGTTGTTTGCTTRTGTTGTCACTATTGTACATTTTGACCTCACTGCTATGTTGTTGCTGTTGTTTCTGATGCTGTTGTAGCTAAACCAATAGGCTTATTGTCACCTAATAYTATGTAAAATATCAATTCCAGAATAGAAAATAAAATACAATACTATTACTTACGCATGGGTCGTTTATTTCTTTAAACTACACGAATAAATTAAATGGCTGATTTACATTATCATCACAAATATTGTGAAACTTTGGGTTAAAATACCCCTTCCTTGTGTTATAAAAAGTTATAATAATCTATTTTTTAAGTGCATCATGGCCAAGCTACAGAAACGAGTGGTTTTCATCCGAGTGTGAAATAAAAAAACTTGATTTACCAACCTCGATCCCAGATCCTCTCCTATTTTGTTTGCTGAAAGGGACCTAGGACCGAGTTTGCCTAATAAATAGTTTCTAATTAATTTAACGAGAGAAAGAGGGGGATGTCCAACAAAAGTGATTGACGGGTGTCAATATATATCTACATCATTTATTTTATGGGTTAGAAATCAACGATCACGTAGATTTATTTAACAACTATTACGCTTTCGCATTGCTGGCACGTGATTATGAATGACATGCCTCTTTAAACCAATCACAAACCGTTACAGAACCATCTCCAAATTCTTACGCASCAGACCTCGATTCAAAGCATGTGAAGCTACCAGTTCTCTGTGCAGGGCGCGCAAAGACTCTAGGGGACGTTTGGGATCCTCCTCGATCTTTTGTAATTTTTCTTGCAGCGATTGTAATTGCTCATCTTCGAATTCTGGTTCTTCGTCKTCGTCCATTTCCTGGTTTTCCTGTGGTTTTGGGGGCTGCTGTGGTTTCTGGGATTCTTGAGGTTTTTGAGACTCTTGTGGCTGTTGTTCATCATACTCGTCATCTTCCTGGTCATCGCKTTCATCACTTTGGTCCTCTTGATCTACAAAGAAAGAAAGAAAGAAAGAAAGAAATTKTTAAAGCTTTTTCCGATTTTAATGATGGCACGACAGTCTCTGCAGTGGCGGATCATGCTACCTTGTACAATTTGTTATCTTCCGCTATTTTGATCTTTGATAATGTTTACAAGCCCCGGGCGGGTTACAAGCGCGCCCTCCTCRGYGCAAAGCCTGAATCTATSCATGCTCTCAAGCAGGCTCAAGACTAAATTTCTTAACAATCGAGTCACAAGATCATAAACACTTACCAGTTGGATATTTACTGGTCTTTCGTCTTTTAATCGATTGTGYCTGGTCACCACCACCAGCTGCTCGATTTTCCAGGGAAACCTGTTGGTACCTCACACCAGAAAAATGTCGCATCTCTTCGTTGAAAGACTTTGTGCGTCCAACAAACTCGTTGACGGATAACTTTGCYACAAACGTGAGACGAGCGTAGCTRTAGTTGGTACTTGGAGGGCGGGCCGAGTGKGGAATGATACCTATAAAWTAAATAAAAAGTCGTTYTTCCACTAAATTTGKAGTCTCSTTCGCATCCGTTTTCGTGTCGGGCTTCCTGTCCCTCCTWAATTTGCTCCTTTAGAAAACATTCAGAAAGACAGACATTTAACCTAGGACTAGACTCGTTTTCTCTAACTGTGAAAATGCAATTGACTACTTGAGAATTTATTTTCATTCATAATTTTGGCACYGACCTTGAAAGATTACCGCTCGACCATACTTCGGCCTCACTTCGGCAGCAATCTCGGGATTTGTCGTATCGGCTTCGTAATAGACAGTCTCTCCGTAGTCATTTTGGGTCATGTTCGGATTTAGATAAATAAGGAAAGTCCATTCATCCTCTTCCGACGTACAGTCGTTGTGGATTCGAGTATGGTCGGCATTCCTTATAAGGTTACACGAGACGTCATACGGAAACCATTTGTTTGTTCCAGACACGTGACTTGCGACCTGAATACATTAGCATACATTACTAAACTTTGTAAGAATGCTGAGTGACCAAYATGAATTCAATGTAGACACGGATATGGTGTATAAAAAAATACCTTATGAGTTATTGTCCATAACCTGCTCTTGATATAACTATCGATAGAAAACCCTGCAATCCACTGAACATTATCACTATCATCGACTTCACTGTCGTCATAATAATATTGCCCATATTTCAGTATTACCACACGAAGCTGATCTAAATCTTTCTTGTCAAATAAATCATCGAAGACGAATATCTTTTTCCCATTTTTGGTCTGGTACTGGGCAACTTGTTTACTATCAACATCAATGGATGCTGGTGCAGGCTTGTTGGCACCGACAAAGTCTCCTGTTACAGTTACTATGTGCTGAGCTCTTGCAAGTTCATAGTTGCGCTGGCTTTGAAAGACCTTATCTTTGTTCTTGGTGAATTGAATATGTAGTAMAAATAAACCTTTCTTAAATGCCATGCTTGGGGGTCTCATTAGATATGGTGCCGAACTTTGCCATATTACTGCGCGGCCGTACTTTGGAACAGAACCACCAAAGATTTCTCTGTCTTTGTCATATCTGTKAACAAACATATGAGGTTTAAACTTGGGAAAATTATATTAACAAACTATAACTCAACTTTATATTACAGACAGGATTTACTTATGACTGACTAAATTACTAAATGACTGACTGTGGCTCACAGAATGAATCTGCAATGACTGAAATACCTAATGTCCTGACTGACTCAGGACTGACTCAATTCCTGAATGAYTGAATAATTAACTGACAGACAGACTCAATAACTTGCTGACTCAATACCTTATCCTGACTGTCAAGGGATCGATTTAAAATTCCTGAATGACTGACCGAGTGACAGACTGACTCAATTCCTGACTGATTGAATGATTGCCAGCTGACAGACAGACAGACTCAATTCCTGAATGACTGACTCAATAACTTGCCCATATATACTTACAGATAAATCTCTCCATAGTCGTTATTTTTCCATTGCTCATTAAGAAACAACACTAAAGAGTACTCATCCTCCTCATTAGTTGCATCTTGATGGAGCTTTGTTGCATCTCCTCGTCGYAAAATCTTGCCTCGTACTCTATAYGGGAAATACACATCMTTGGAACCCGATACATCCATGATRGCCTTCTGTAACACGCGACTTGCATTAWAACTACCAAATTTAATACAATCTAGCTCATTAACCCAAGGTATATTATCACTGGGTGTTTCTGTGCCGCCTTCATAGGGTTCGTGCAAACTGAATTTCCAACCTCCAAGTTCAATGCCGAGAAAAGCACGGATCAGCATTAAGAGTGATGGCTSYAGRAGTTTATCAAATACTACAGCTTTTTGGTGAGTATTGCTTTCATAACGAGATAGGATATTTTTGCTGGTGTCAATGTCCAACAATTTTTCCTGAAAGATAAAGTCTGATGAATGGATGGATGAACAATTGAAAGGATGGGAGGATGCGTGTCAAATGAAAAGATTATTATTAAAAGCAACGTAGGGAAAGATGTACTTAAACATTGAGAATGGGCAACTTTAATTACACAAAAGATAGATCAAGTTTTACATCCCATAATATTAAATGGATTTGATGATCTGCTAGAGAAACATTTMTTTAGTGGATAGGACTGTTATTCCTTTGCACATCCAGCAACTTTGGATCATGACAACAATCATAATAAACACATTTTAATGACTTGCATGTTTTGAAAGTTTRAATACAAAACACTTTATATGCTAATTTAATGATCTGAAGCTTGTAAAAAGTGAGGTCGAATATTACATTTTTCATATCGTTATAAGCCCAAATTAACCCAAAAATATTATATAATATATCCATAATACAATTTTAATGAATTATTAAATCATAACGGTCCTTTATAAACACAATTTGGTTTGATATATGTTATCAACATCACACAATTAGATTATCCACACGGAAATTTTTCAGAAAGGTTAAATACGATGTTTCTTTCCTTAGAAACGACACAATTTTGGTTTAATAATATTTTATAAAATGTAAGTTAAGAAAACAAATAAAAGCAGACTTTAGGTAAAATATTAATTATGAATAATAATTCGAACGTTAACCATCGAATTTATAGAGCTGAATATAAAAATTGCATCTCTGAAAACTCCATTATTATATATTTAAAAAATATAGAAAGAAGTGGATTAAAGAGTAATTATAAGCTGGTAATTTTCCACTAAAGCTGTGTTATCATCTGTAACACAGCTGTCAAATGATCACACCATTCCAGCAATGAATGTTCCAAAAACGTACCGTTAAAGATGGCTTCGCAGCTCCAAACTCAAACGCCGAATCTTCTGACCATAATATTTGATCTGCATCAAGTTGGCAGAGAGAAAATCGAARACAAAGAGCAGAAAAAAGTAGAGCTAACTGAAACCGTGACGCCGCCATGTTGATGTACAGGAAAAACTTACTTGCAGAACTGGGCTCAACTTGATTGGCTAGAATTGRACAATAGACATTGTTTTATTTTTGGGTTTTGGTTTTATAATTATGTTCAAAAATACCTTTTAGATTATTTTTACCTGACTTTTATAAAGGAGAATTGTTGATATTAATTTTAGAGGGCTAAGATAATTTTGAATGGAATCTATGTTTGTGACATTGAAATAGTTTTAATTTCCATGTCTAGAGTCACGAACTCTTACACTGACAGAAAATTAAAATTATTTTTTAAAAGAATAAATTCCTAAGAGATGTTCAAATTAAATAAATATAAAGCAGAAAAAGAAAGACTCTCATGACTTCATCAAAAGGATAGGAAAAAAAATCAATAAAAATGAGAGTTGCGAGTTGATCAAACCTGATTTTCTCAATTCGAGCGCTCTTCCGGTAAATGCGCGCTTGCGCTAATTCTCTCGCATGGAAATGTCAAATATATGGAAATTTCCCTTCACAGACTCTCCTGATCAGCTGTTTCCCGTGAAATTATTCAAAGCTGAAGCAACCTATGGCTTTCCTATACGTTTTTGAAGCTAATTGACTTAAGGAAACTCGTGGTAGAGTGTCATGACAAGTTACTAACCGGGAACCACGTTGGAAGCCATTGCAAGCGACTGACTGTCGACCAAGACAGTAAAATGTCAGTTGAAAGCTGCTTTATTTTGATTCTCTTRCTCAATTCGCAAGYTTTCGAGGTAGTATGGGGTCAATATTGTGAGAAAGACGACTGCGGGTCTAGCAGCAAAGGTATGGAGCACAATTCTTTRTCAAATGAACAACTTCTGTATTGAATAAAATTTTGACGTTTTGTTAGCTCTAGTTCTAATCATATCCCAAACAAWAACCAACCTGATAAACTCTAAACCTTCMTGAAATGTCCACCTGTAGTTAGAGAAGAATCCTTTGAAAGCTCGTCTTTTTATATTTCACTAGAATGTGCGATTTGATCCGCACAATGCGTCGTCCTTTTGACGGCATTTTAGCTCTATTCAACTTATTCAAAAGTTGACCAATTGATCTATACCTCCTTTTTGTCTATCAAGTTTAAGAAAATTCACATAATCATTGGGTATAGCACTTTCAATGGGCAATAGATAGAACAGTCTATTTACAAGTYAAAGAGAATTGCTTATTCGAATCAATCGTGTTGTTCTGGATGGTTTGACAGGATGCTAATGTCGATTGAGTGTCATATCTGTTGGGATTATTTTTCTCGAAAGAAAAGCAATTTCCTCTGTGAAAATATATCCTATGTTTGCAAAACAGGAGCGAGAACAAGGTGCGAAAAAGTATCTTACACTTGGTATCTTTAAACAGGAAAAAAACAGTGAAAAAGGAAGACAAGAAGTGAAAAAAAAGTAAACAGTGAAAAAAATGGAAATTTTTCTTAATTTTCTCTCCCTCCTTTTTTTTTTGTGTGTGTGTGTGTGTTTTACTTTTCTGAATTGCCACAACTCTCAAAGATCTTGTTATAAGCAATTCTTTTGTGTTTATAAAGTTAACTATTGCATTAAAAAGTCAGACAGCTGCCAGGATTTTTTGACATTATTTTTAGCAGTGACCATTTACTGYGAAAAAAGGGAAAAAATACAATACTTTTGAAGTATATTTTTGCTGAAAATTGTTGTCTAAGAAATATAAAACAGCTGATAGAGTCTGCCTATGTTCTTTGAATACACACATCAGGTGGGATAAATAGATAGAATAAGAGGGAGAAGCAACCAAAATGAACAAAACAGTAGTGTTTCTGAGTGCTGCCCATCTCTCACCAAGCACAGAAACACAGGCAGACATTTTACATTTCTTTTCTAGCATTTTCAGTGCTTCTTTCGAGCTTACCAATATGTCAAACTATCTCTCAGCACAGCCATTAAAAGAGCACATGTCAAATTTCAAAAAATCTTTATACATTGTAAGATGAGACTTTGAGAGGTTTAAACGTTGAATATCACACACCTTTTATAGAAATAGTATACACCTAATTGAAGAAACTTTGTCGGGTCGAAAAAGGTCAAATTATAGAAGATAAGAACGAATGGGTAGTTGGGAAGACAAGCAATTTGGCTAATTTTTATACAAACAGCTCTCCAGCATATTAAATGACTATCATGCTGTTAATCTTACTAGCTCTACTTGCTTAGTGTACACCGTATATGCAAATGTATTCCCAATTTAGTGGTACTAAAAATCTTATCTTCTATGATGTGACCTTTTCGAACACGACTACGTTTTTTCAATTAGGTGTATATCAGAGAGATACAGTGTTAAGAGATTTAAAATCCCTAAATATTGAATTACTTCAAAAGGTACATTAATGACTTTATTCATAAAATGTCTTAGGAATAATTGGATAAACATCTTGTGGCAAGCTTAGTGTAAAACTCCTCAAATCAAGTAACTTTGTACAAACAAGATTTTTTTCCTTGAGACACAAAATGAGTGGCATTTGCCAATTGYTTTTGCTTACAGATTAAGTTGTTACTAAGCAACTGTAATACTAGCTCTGGTATGAAGCTATTATGATGACTTCTTTGATGAATATGTATTGTATGTTATAGTGTATAATTATTGTAACATTGATCAACAAAATGCTCATTATCGTGTTCTCTCCTCTTCATTTCCCTTCGTTTGTTTCATCTTTCTGTATAATTCTGTTCTTKGATGTATTGCCTCTCAAAATAGATCATCTATTTTGACAGTGGAGTGTCTTTTTTGGGGTACATCCCTTCTAAATATGTGTTTTTACATGTACAGGTACACAACACCAACCTTGACTAATTCCATAAGTTGCAGTTTTTGCTCCTCATGTTTTTTTTTGTTGTTGTTTTGTTTGTCTTGTTTGTCTCTCAAACTAGCAACTCAGGCAGTGTGCAAGAGAGAACTGGGACCAACTTATGGAATTAGTGTAAACAACAACTGAGATATCTCCATGTGGAGTGTCTTTTTTAAGAGATTGAAAGGAGCTTTTTTAAAAAACTTCAGGGGATAATAATCTTAACAGATTTGAACTATTGGATTATCGATACAAGTTTTTCACTCAGTTTAAAGTTTAAATTTTGAATTAAGATTTTGGTTACTTAAAACTTCTTCTGGTCATGCAGTAATAATTAAAACTCCTCTGTTGTGTATATCAATKTATTTTGGCCAATTTTCGCTGTCATACAAGCATTCATTTGGTTATTTGATTATTAAACCAATTTTTGACTAATGTAGACATTGATGGCAAATACGCTTTTCTCATAGGCAAATATGCAGTGAGGAAAATGAATTCATAGGAAATAGAAAAACAGAAATGTTTTGTAGTTGGTAGAAGTGAATCAGAATCTAATCAAGTAGCTTTTTAAAATATCAGTAAGCATTAAAATGCAAATATATAATTCAAATCGAAAACAGGGACCATTAAAATGTGAAAAATAAACACAGATACGATTTGTATACTTGGTCAACGCGACTTCAAATTGATATGACGAACCCACTGTTAATAAACCAAATAAGCTTCATGTGTAAACATTGTAATTACACAAGTGAGCGAGCGAGCGAGTTACAAGTTATCGTTGAATTATGTTTCCAAATAAAAATACATCGTATATAAATATAAGCAAAAACTTGCGATTCGGTCTTAAAATGACCGATAGAAACAGATTGTGAATGGATATTTCGCTTTTTTCATATTTGAAAAAWCTAAAACACGACCGCAATGAATGGTGGTTGACTATGGACYTTTGATATATTGCWTCGAAAAGGGRAGATCATCTCGCGACTCGTAACCTCTCTGTGTAACGCACCGTTTAAATATAYATCCCACAAGACATTATCTACTAAATATACTAGATCTTATAATCTAACTTTTCTATTTAATAATATCAAATCTTGCAAAAAGCTGAAGACTTCCCTCCAAAAAAGCTAATTACGAATTCTTATCAATTATTCAGATAAYATCAAATCATTTGGAAGCCATCGCCCTCCTGAAGGCACCATAAAAACGCTAAAGTATTCCCCCAGTAGCCCAGACTTCTACAATCGCTTCGTACATACTCGAACGCCGGTTATAATCAAAGGTGCAGCCAATCACTGGCCAGCAATGACACGATGGGTCAACCAATCATATCTAAGAGAGCACTACGGCTCCACCCCTTTTACTGTGGAATATCGCAAAAAATTCAAGGACGAGCAGCCAATCAGAAAGCCCCAAAGACTTGATAGTTTTTTAGATATCTTTGAAAAGGAGGACGTCTATTTAGATTCRGCKTTTCCTCCAAGTGCTATGCTCCATGATGTGAGTCTACCTGAGGTTYTGGGATGTAAGGAGCTGAGCGGGAGAATCAATAGCATGACTTTGCTGTTCAGTAGCGGAAATACGACTTCGCCTCTTCATCAAGATGGATATGAGAACATTATAACATCTATATCAGGTATCAATAAAGTGATTTTTTTCATTGTCCGCGGGTCAAAACTTAATGACTAGTGATTTTTTTTATTGTCCGTCAAAACTTAATGACTTGTGATTTTTTTATTGTCCGTCAAAACTTAATGACTACGACCACAAACACTAAAGGTGTTTAAAATGGTGGGAACTAGTGGTAAACTCGTGTGAGCTGCGTCGGTGTTTCTAAAGAAACAGTTTTGTAAAAAGATAAATTTAACACCGCAAAAAGTAGGTGAAATAACTTACTGACGTTTCTGACGTTAATCCTTCGTCGGAGTAAAGAGACTTCGACGAAGCAGTAACGTCTGAAACGTCAGTAAGTTATTTCTACCTTTATACGGTGTTAAATTTATCTTTTTACACAACTGAAGGTGTTCAACATGCACTGGCGATTTTGCGGTTGTCCAGTGGGTTGTGCTAAGAGCACATTTCTGGGTCCTAGCTTCTGGACTAATTCTAGTAAAAATGATGAAGAATTAACTTGTAAAGTTTTATTCAGTTCACTAAGATGAGCTAACTAAACGTCTCTTCACAAGGACAAAGCAAAATCTATCATATTTGTGAAATTATAGCCTGAACAATCGCAGCAAAAATCGCCGATGTGAATCGGCTTTTGACGTTATTAACTACGAAATAGTGCTAACGTAAAAATTTACAACACGCGACGGAACCACACTGAACCAATAAATCACTATATTTTGCTTATTTCCAGGCACCAAGACGTTTCTATTGATCGACCCTGCGTATTCGCAAGACCTTTACGCAGATGAACATTTCCTGTTTCCGGGAATTTCAAAATTTGATGGCGACGCAATCGATTTCGCGAAATTCCCCAAACTCGCAAACGTGCCATACTATGAGGTGACGTTACATCCAGGTACGTAACGTACATTACGTTTTACGCGGCCGGTGAGACTTAGTTTACTTGTTTTTAACTTACGTACGTTTTTCGTAGGTGACATGCTTTACGTACCGCAGTACTGGTGGCACATCGTTCGCTCACGTAACTCTCCCAACGTAGCAGTGAACGTGTGGTTGGATGTGTTTAATTTTCATGATGAATTCGAAAAGGCGGGTCTTGACGAAGACATAAACATTGTCAAAGTAAGGATACTTAGGGACGGTCCATTTAACTTAATTTTTTTTTCTTCGTGGCTTTTGGGTAGGCTATATTTTTTTTCTCTTGTTGGTGTGTATGATTTTTTTTAGGTCCATATGTTGTGCACGATTTTTATTTTAGGTGAAGATGGCTTGCAGGATTTTTTTTTCAAAATCATCCAACACCAGGTTCACCCAGGTTCAGAATTGCTCTCCCTCCCTCCCCTTTAGCTTCTCCCCTACTGAAGTTCTTGAGGTTGCTGAATAATAAATTGAATAAATGGACGGATAAATGAAAGATTTTGTACTGAATGATATGTCTTGATAAAAAGATTGTTAAAGAATGAATTGATAAAATAAATTGAATAATAAGTAAAAGATTGGTGGGAATATGGATGAACGAATAGGACAAACGGGTGACTGATCGGTAGTCCACTGTCTAGGAAAAAAAAGCATGAAAGTATCTCGCTATTATAGAGCAAGGCTTTCAAATTTTCCTTTATCCAAAATCAGTTCGTTCGTTCATCCATTCATTATTMATTCATTTATCCATSCATTCTTCCTCWCATTYTTWTATRGAAAATTAGCAYAAATCTACACAGKGTACCCRAACTAA